TACGATGCTGATGTTGTTGGCAAAGATTCAATAGGTGATTGCAAAGTTAAATTGAAACATGTCTTCGACGATGGTAAATTTGACGAATGGGTCAAACTACCGTCAATGCTCGGTTTGTCGTCCCATGGTCAAATTCATGTCGTCATGAATTTTAGAGTAAGCAACATTTTCGTTTTTTTTCTCTTTTACAAAACAACTAAATATGTGTCTTCTTGTTTTAGCCGTCCTAAATCCATCTATATTGGTTCACATGCATGACTTCGATTGGTTTCTTTTTACCAAATCGAGCTTGATTTTTTTTCTCTACATTAGCATAGTGCCTTACGAATTCTACTATGATTTTGTTGCTCTGCAGTAAGAACTTTTTTTTCGATATAATTCATCAATAAATATGTACCGAACACAAACACATTTTTCATCAACGTAGAGAGAGGTCAATGACAAGAGTGAACATGAAAAAACTATCAAGCTTGTTTTTGTACAATAGCGAATTCGCACAATCAAATAGAAAGAGAAGAAAAAAGTGGCTCGTTAAAATGCATCTTCTATCGATATAAAAGCGTTATCTTTCTTGAATCTTCTAGGTGAATAATCTGACTATATCATCTGTATGTGGGCTTCGTATCTTTTGTAAATAGAAAGTCTTTCGTCAAAGTATCATTTCACCCGATGCAAAGATATCATTGTACGATAGCCCTCCATCCCGAATGCGTGCAGATATTGATGACAGTCTTTGTGGAGAGAGATGCAATGGTTGAAATATAAGCACTGACCAATCTTTCCAAATGCTTAAAGAAAACTGCTTATTGTCATTTTTTCTCACAATGCAACGTCGCGTTCATACTTAATTTATCTCTTCTTGCGAACAGAACAAAGCCCATTCTATTTCTGATTCTATAGTACATCTCGCATTCAATCAGGGTGTGGGTGTGATTGTGAATGAAAACCAGATCCACACCCCACACCCTCAAGTGAGTCGAAAACGACTGAAGTGTAATTGTATGTAGACGAATAGATGAGAGAAAATGAAGCCATACAGGTTTCGATAAGAACAAGTTTTTCTTTTTCTTCCTATCATTTCTTCACCAAACAGATGAATAATTCATAAAGAAAAGGACGCAAATATGTCAGTACGTTCGATTTATTCCCACTGATTCATCTTTCAGAGAAAGTTCTGCAGCTGTCAAGAACTATTTAGAAGATTGAATCAGCTCGTGGACTGTGAAAATCATACATTAACAATCTTTGCAGTTGACATAATAATCATATTTTTAACTGCTCTAGAAGAGTTGATGAAAAATTTTGATTGGGTTGGTTTTTTCCAAGTAATCATAACGTCATTCTTTTTCTTTATTCATATAAATGATATGTTATGTGCGAATAAAGTCACGATTTATTCTATAGTTCTTTGGCGAAGAAGGTTAGCTTTTTTCAGATAGATGAAAATTTTGTACAGTCAACGTGTTTGCTACTTAATATTTCTCTTGTTCTACCAAAGGTCGATAAGATAACTTTTATGTTGAACAAAACAAGGTAAACAATTCACTTAAAGGATCCCCTCACGAAATCCCAGTTTTTTGGGAAAAAGTTCGAAGTGGAGTTTTTACCATAGGAAGATGCAGTGAAATTCCCTCTTTCAGAATATATATACCTTTTCGGAAAAGGGCTAAATTTTAAGAAACTTTCGAAGCTAATTTCGACCCCGCATGATGTTTTCTTTAAGTTTTCTAGTTTTGAAAAAACTGTATATTATTATTTCGGCATTCCCCAGTCGAGACTTCCTACTAGAATCCCGGCGAAATCCCTGTCGTGAGTCCCTGGGGGTGTTAAGAGGGGATTCAGGGATTCTCTAAGGATTCCCCAGGATCTTCACAGTGACTTCCCAGGGAATTGATGTATATTATCAGGATCTCTCCAGAAGCCACCATTGGAATTCTCTGAAAAATTCAAATTTATGAAAATTTTAGAGGGACTCCACAGCGAGTTTTAGGGTAATGCTGAGACATGCAACTCCTCCGGGCACTCACGACAGGAATTTCCCAGGGATTTCGCATTTTTCAGGAGACTCACCGGTGATTTCGTTGGGAAGAGTCGACTGGGGTTGAATAAATCATTACATTTACCTAAATATGATCGACAGTGGTAGTTCAAATTACTTGCTATGCACTTTAAGAAATTACGCTGATACATTTAATGACTATATCATTTTAGTATGGTTTTTTCTGGATTTTAATGAAAAAAGTCATTTCTAAAACTTCTTTAGCGTTTTTCTCAAAACACGATTTCCAGGCAGAAAAAATGGAATAACTCCCACCCGGCTGATGGTATCACCGATGTTTCTTTTGTTTTAAAGGTCTGAATGAGAGCTAACTTTTCATCAGACCGATTTTTGATATTTAATTCCTGGAATGAGAAAAGTGGGATTTACTTTCGTGGAGACACCTTTTTTTATGCTTCGTTTGAATACCATATCCATTAAAATGCTCATAAAAAATGAATGGAAGAGAGTTTCAAAATGATGTCCGATGAAAAGTTGCGCACAGAGGCTAGCTTTAATTTGAAACCAGTCCGAGCTGTGTACCTTTTATAACAATGGAGTTATTTCGATTCTCCTAGAAGCTATAAAAACTATCTGGGTGTGGCTGTGGCTGTGAGTCTTCTCTTCACGTACACCCTCAAATCATCACACAAACACTATTCAGATTTGATTATGTCTGATCATTGATGATTATTTTATATTGAGTAGTTCGAGAAGCGAACTTCTGATTATCTTCTCTAAGAATAAATTTATTGATTGTCATTCGAAATGATGAAATTTAATCATAATGCCATCAAATAATAGATTAGTTGATTTCAATTTCAGATTATAATCGATTCTTTGTACATGGCTTTTTCCAAACGACTTAGTCTTCACCATCGTGAACTGGAAAAGAATCCAGCTCCATTATGTCATGCACAACCTGAAGATCCTGAAAATGATATCACTCATTGGATTGGTTATATTGATGGACCAGAAGAAACACCATTTGCTGGTGGAAGATTTCATCTCAATATTGACTTTCCAGAAGCATTTCCATTCCAACCACCACGTATTCGTTTTATTACACCCATCTATCATCCAAATATTAGTATAAAAGGTGAAATATGTTTAGATATTCTTCATTCTCAATGGTCTCCAGCATTAAGTATTCGTGCTCTCTTAATATCGTTATGTTCATTATTAACAGATCCTAATGTTGAACATGGATTGAACCGAGACGCATTGAAACTCTATCAAACAGATAAACAAAAATATGAAGAAATTGCAAGAGAATGGACAAGAAAGCACGCTACCAAGTAGTAAAGCCTCAAGTGATCGAGATTTTCTAAAATTTTAATACAATTTTAACGAATCTTTTTTTATATGAACAAGTTTTTCCATCATTGTTATGAGAACTCATGTTTTATTGAAAAGTATTTATTCAATTAACTTCATCTTTCTATCCATTTAACTTCATATTTCAAAGCAGGAAAAGCTTTGGGTGTGGGTGTGGGCGTGGATGGGTGTGTGGATGTGGGTGAGAGTGTGGGCGGGTGTGGGTGTGGATGTGAAAGTGGGTGTGGGTACTGGTATTGTCACCATATAGCACACCCATCCACCCACACCCACCCATACCCACCCACACCCACACCCCACACATTCACACCCACCCACACCTACACCCACACTCACACCCTCCAGCCACCACACCCACATCCATACCCACACCCACACACACCCACCAGCCCAACCCCACACCCACCCACACCCTTCAGCCACCACACCCGCACCCACCCACATCCCACACCCACACCCAGCTATCCACATCCACACCCAGCCATCCACACCCACCCACACCCTCACCCATACCCTCACCCACACCCATACCCATACCCACACCCACACCCTTAAATCTGTTTTCCATTAACACTATTAAACGATAACTGATATATATATAAGCAAATTTAATCTGTTAAAATTTGTTAATTGTGGTTGAAGCAGAAATTTTATCATTATTTTTGTTAAACATGAGTGTAGTATCATTATTAAAAAAACCAGTTACTTTAGCAATGTTGATTATCTTCATGTTGTGTTTGACATTATTTTTTTGTAGTAAAAATGGCATTTTATTAGTTACTTGTGAGAATATAATAAGGGGGAAAAAACTACGTTAATGCATGAAACACTGCGTTCCTTACATTGTAATACTTGAAAGTTAAAATGTCTATAAAAAAAGATCAAAACCAATCATAAAAAGTTCGGCTTGTTTCGATCACTATTTCATAAGCAGAAATTTCAAGGATCAAGCGAGTTCATTTTTTTTTGTCTCATGTATAAAATAGTTCAAGAAACGTTTGCCCAGATGAATCAGTAACTGATTAGTGCTTCGAAAATTGTCTGTTATGAGGAAGTTCTGAAGAGACCGATATGACCTGAACTCGAGTATGACGTTGTTGCCAGATATGAACGAGAATAGTTACAAGAGTAGTTGTAATGATGACTAAACCACCATAGAGTCCAAGAAGTACTGAGAGAATATCAAGAAAAGATCGACGTATCATGTACGAATAGGAACAAAATGATGGAGAACATACATTATAATAATCCTCGTATGATACATTACTAATCCATTCCTCTACCATGAGTTCATTGAGAATCGATTGAACAGATGAATTTAATTTGTATTTACTTGTCAGAGAAGCATTAAGTGGTGTAAATGATTGATCGATTGATTGAATCAAACGAATACATGAATGATTATATAAACATTGTAAATTTGATTTTAGTAAAGCTTCAAGTGGATAGCAGCCAACATTCAATCCCGGCATTGCCGATATCTCTTGAAGACATTGTGAAGATAGACCACAATTACATGTACCATTATAAACTACCGGCTTTGTATGCAATATTTTTCCCCAGTGACTGGTATCAACAAAAATAAGATCAGTCCATTTCCAATTGCTCTGAAATAAAGATATCAGTGTATTATCAGTTATCATCACACGAATAAGTTCTAAAATATTTAAGAAAGAATTGCTCGTATCCACTTGAAATTGTTTGATAATTGATTGAATTTGTATATTGAGTTGTAGAGGTGATACTACTTGAGAATGAATAAGACTTTTATTTGTTAAAGCAGAAAGTTCATCGGTCAAATATTGTTCAGTAAATTGACAAAAAGAAGCAAGAAGTTGAAAAAAACCAATAGCCGATGTTTGAAATTCCGTTGGAGAATATGTAGATTGAAGATTAGGTAAAAGAAGAGTTTCAATCCATTTATCTTTTATGAAATCACTCGAACAAACTTGATGTCTGTTCAAGACTGATAGATTCATGAATGATTTATATTTAATTGACATTCGAGAACATGGACATTGAAGAGTATTGGAATGTTGAATAAGAAGATTTTCATAGGTTTTAGATGATGGGTTAGAAATTTGATTTGTTACTGATACAGATGATAATATATAGATAAGACCAAGTGTTGAGAATGTTATTATAAGAAGAATGGCAGTTACATGAGTTTTGAGACGCTCTTCATTGTTCTGTGCAGCAAAAAACCATATTTTTATTGCTCGAACAGATAAACGAGTGCCACTTGTTATCTGAAAAACAATATAGGAATTGATCTAATAAATTGACGAAAAGATAATGTGTAACTCGAAGTTCTTATGAGGACTAAGATTGTTGGTTTGTCACACTAGTAATCTAAAATTAGGATTGACTGAATAATATGTTGTCAAACTGAATTATTTCAGTCAGTTCAATTCTAGACTTCAACCGATGAAGAATTAATCGATTTAAAATTATATAAAATTTTTACTCCTCTGAGAAAGTTTATTAAGATATCTATGAATAGAAATATAAGGCGAAACTCAAATAACTCTTTGCGATTATAATACTATCATTAACATTTATTTAAATATTGCAAAGCATTCGTTGCGACTCATAGAGAAACTATCTACAAAAACGTCTAACATTTCAACCGCATTTCATAGCTTCGATAATCTGAAGATTTATTTATTTCTATATCAGTATGGAGAATATTAGTAAGAATATATAGAAATTAATATAATAACTGATAAACTGCCTGATCAGGTTGCAAGTTAAAATAAGTAGATAGTTTATTAGGTAGGTGAACTGTACTCAAGTAGATACCTATGAAGTTAGATGCAAAGCGGCAGCTTTACAGTTGTGTCACTACGAAATCATTGTAGGTCATTTCTATGTGTACATTTACTCCTCTTTTCTACATTCCTAATAACTTATACTCGCTGATAACCGACACAACACAAGTTAAAATATGCCAGTAAATTAATTCACAATGGTACACTAATAGATAATTGATTAGTTAGATTAATAGACTGATATATAAATATATCTTACATCATCATAGAACAATGTAAGAAAAACATCTCATTTATATAGCAAGGAACATTGATTTTCTTGTATGCTATAAAACAATTGATCCACAAAAAGAAACAAGTGATCATTTGGTCTCACCTTAGTTATGAAACGAAGAAATATTATAAATAAAATTTTCAATCCAGTTGTTAGACCACCAAGGATACTAAGGGCTGTCGTAATGATAGCCACTAAAGGACGTCTTTGTGTGTATTCATAGGTGCAGGTTGAAGGTGCGCATGTCATATAATAGTTACTGTACGAAACATTTGGAAACCATCCGTTAACAAACATTCGATTTGCAACAGATTCAATTGTTTCATTTGGCGAATTTAAACTACTGTTAAGTGCAGTAAAACGTGGCAGAGTTGAAAACCAATTGAAATTATAGGAAATCATCAGATCCATGCATGTTTGATTATAGAAACATTCCAAGGTGGAGCTCAATAAAGCTTCAAGTCGAAAGCATCCCATATACAAACCAGGAACATCAAATATATAGGCAGCTACTGTAGATGTAACATCATATACTTTCATAGGAGAGCGACATTTAGTAGAAAGCATACAATTGCATTGACCATAAATGAATGATGAATTTAACATAAATATACTGGGGAATGTGTTCCATGGTCCGCTCAAATCAAGAAACGCATTTGCATAAGCACCTGCTAAATGATTACCATGATAAACTGTTCGAATCAGTTGAATTGTGCGAAGAAAACTATTGATCGTAGTTTTTTTCCAGCTGTTAAAGAGCTCATCTATTTCCGATTCAAATTGTTCTTTACTGATGACTTGAGCTGTAACAAGCGTGTAATTAAGAAATACTTGATAATTATTAATAATTGTTTGCTGGGTATAGTTGCATAGAGTGGAAAGAAGAAAAAATAAAGAGCCAGCATTGATATTGTATGCCTCGACAAAGAAATCTCTTTGAAAACCATTTGACGCACCATGAAGTTCTAACCAGTATGAAGAAGTAATATCACTTGAACACATCTGATGATAGTGGGGTTTAATTGTAAAGAAAGTGTTATGTGGAATGGAGATGTTCGAACAAGGACATTGGAGCGATGACGGATAACTAGATTTAAGATACGAGAATTGAGATATATTTGGATTGTTTACTGTCTCCACATGAATTTCAGGAGTTATACCTGAATTGATTGTCAGAATAAGGAGACTTAATACAAGAGATACGATATAGACTCGAGTAATTATTTGTTGATAGCGAACTTCACGTTCAGCATTGTTGTCGTTCGTTTCAATTTTAAATAGATTGAGTTCGAAAAGAATTTGTTTAAACTTTGGCAAAATTTGTTGTGTTAAACGTTTCATTACTAGAGAATAGAAATAACAAACAACAATATCATAGACAAATGTAGTTGAATTTAACTATGTTTCAATATTTAACTCGATTAGTCAGATAAAGTTAGAAACGCTTTGAACGTGAAACGGTATAGTTGATATGTCTCTCACTATCATTCTATCTTTTCTTGTGCCACTGATATGGTGTGATACCATCACATATACGTGGGTCACTCTGAAAGTTTTTAGATTCTTGATTAAATTTAATAGATAAATACGAGTTTGATAGTTGTAGTAGTAGACCTAAGTCTCAGAAGAAAATCTACAAAGTTTTGGCTCTTGGACATTTCTTCTTTCGTTTTCTTGATGTGATCATAGTAAATGATAACTCGAATTTGGTCTCATGTAAGATTCATACCCGGCTGGAAATATTATTTTGCTAGAGGGGTATCGCTATAATTTTAAATAGAGTAAATAATGAATTTTATACCAAACGAAAGTCCGTCAAAAGTGGGGTTTATTAGTACTAAACAATAAGAGTTATGGAAATTTTCGTACGTTGAAATGTCGAAATTCAGGAAATTAAGATAACTTTTCTCACACCTATGATCGGTGAAATTTTCTAAATTTAGACATTTCAGCGTACGAAAGTCTCCATAACCCTTACTTTTTAGTGCTAATAAACCCCATTTTGATGGACTTTCGTTTGGTATAAAATTCATTATCTACTTTATTTAAAATTATAGCGATACCCCTCTGGCAAAATATTATTTCCAATCCAGTATCACTTAATCTACAACAAAACGAAAAGAGAAATGTTCAAGAGCCAAAACTTTGTAGACTTTCTCCTAAGACTTGGGTCTACTGCCACAACTACCAAACTCATATATATCTATTAAATTTAGTCAAGAATCTAAAAACTTTCAGAGTGACCCACGTACATAATATATACCATGTATACTTTTTTCTTTCTGCTATCATGCTTGGATACATTACATCTTCTATTATGTTCAGATAGATTGTTTCTTGCGTTCTCTCTACCTCTCTGTTTCCATCACGTATGATATCGCTAGTGCTTTCTAGTGAGTTCCTGTCGTTTTAAGATTAGACAGTAAATTCTTTCGTTATCCGCGCTCTTGTAGATGTATGCGTCCGTCACTTGAAATCTGCTATGAGTCAACCTGAAGAATACAATGATTGTGTACACTACTGTTTTTTATCACATTCTACCATGCTCACACATAACGGATCGAATCGAATCTAATTCATATTTGGCACATACCTAGTTGTATCTGTATCTAAGATCGTCACTTCATTTACATAATCATTCGTAAGTAAACAAATCAGAAGTAAATTACATAGATAGACGGATGAATATGTCAACATACACCTAGTTATCTCACTATGTATATATGTGTATTTATGACAATACATATAGATATTGATATGGATTGACATTCTGGGGGAAAAGTTAGTTCTTACCTATACATATAACTAGTTCAATATGTTCCTACACAGATGCTCAGGTGTGTGAGAAAATGATGCTGCTCTTAGAAATGTGCCTGATTCGACAGGAAATGACATCTCTTTGGAAAAATTGCGACCGAAATTATGCTAGAAAAGACCTCATTTTCGGAAGAACTCGACTGGAATCATTGATTTAGAACATTTAATGCAATTCAGCACTGGTATTCGACAAAGTTTGAACATGGAATTATTAGGTCTCTTGATAAGTTAAGCGATCCAAGACGAACACTTCTGTTGTCGAATTCTAACGACAATCGAACAGAATTCAATTGAAATTATTCATATCCGATAAAATACGGCTGGAATAGTCGTACTTAAGATTTGCATGGTCTGATCTATTTAAGCTATAATCAATACTCATGACTAGTGCCCGGCGTGACCATAAAACAGTGACCAAAGAAAAAAAGATTATTTGATAGTAATGTTTATGTTGAATATGACAAAAACAGTGTTGATTTGATTCTTTGTATTCAGAATTTTCTCCTCTACAAAATGATGTATAAAACTTGAGGATACCATGATATATACAAGAGAAAACAACGGCACATTTGTCGTAACCAGTTCTAGTCACAATCAGTCACGGAAATTTCTGGTCACGACAAATGTGTCATCGTTTTCTCTTGTATAGATCATTGTATTCTCAAGTTTTATACATCATTTTGTAGAGGAGAAAATTCTGAATACAAAGAATCAAATCAAAACTGTTTTTGTCATATTTAATATGAAAATTACTATCGGACAATCTTTTTTTTCTTTAGTTACGGTTTTATGGTCACGCCGGACACTACTCATGACACTCTGTCACATTCTAATGATATTCTACAGTAGGATCCGTTCGAATCGAGACGCTAAGAACTGATCATATTCCAACATTAAGAATCCGAATGTGATTTGGTCATTCGGTTCCTTCCGATATTGCTACAGGATTCTACTGATTTTCACAGAATCCTAATGTGATCTAATAAAATCTGACTGTTAGACTGACTGTCTTTGGATTCAGAACAAAACTTCACTTCGATTATAACAAAAACAAAGTTTTTTATGGGTATATATTTCAAGAGATATATTGATTGACTGGTAATCAGATAAATCTTGAAGTTCATAGGAGATTTTAAAAATCCAAAGTAACTAGAAATCTAGCAGCTACTGGTTAACCAAGCAAGTCAAAGAAAAACTTAGATAGCATAAATCTATCATTATTGCTCATTAGTATCATTAGATTGCACTATTTCTAATATATTATTAGAAAACGCTGTATTATAGCTAACTACTTACACGAAATGCGAGGTGGCGGTGGTGATGGTATTACATCAGTATGTGGCATTGGCCAGAATGTTTGTCGAATGAATCCGACAATCAATGGAATAACAATAAGAAGAATTGTACATAATCCACCAAGCAGACCAATAATTGTCTTTAGAACTTCAAGAAAGTTAGGACGGATAGTTTTTAAGTAGATACACGAAATGGGCGAACATTGACGAAAATATTCATCATACGATTGTTGAACTGACCAATCTTCTACCATGAATTCTTCGACAATAGATAAGATTCGTGAGGAAATATTGTACCGACTTGGAAGTTGGTTATTCAATGCAGTAAAATTTATCGGTATATTGTCAAATACTCGTAAAAAGGGTAGAATACTGTTTACGCAGCTTTGATTATAGAAGCATTCAAGTGATGATAGAAGACAACCATCGACCGGCATACAACTGGTACTGAAGTTAGGAATAGTTATAGTAGGTAGATAAAAAATATCAACATTGAGCGCATCAATATCATAGTGGTCTGTATAAATACCAGATAGGCCTCGACACTCATCCATGCTAAGCGGATTTATTATCGCACAACGGCAGGAAAAAGAAACATCTCTATAACTTCGAGTCATCATACCGATTTTTGAGCCACGCAGTGCCCAACCTCGAATATTTGTGTTCGGAACAAGATTGCTAATTAGTCCATTCAACAGTTGATTAGTCACGATGAGCAAACTAATTAATTCGATTTGAGCTCGAAATGTTCTCGATGATGATGATTGTACACTAGAAATAGATGTGGCCACTTGTGTCTGAAGGATCATAGCATTGTCAACAAGTTTTGAACTAGTGAATTCTGTCGATTCAAAGAATGAGAACATTCGATTGGCTCTCTCTTGTGACACTTTACAAAAGCTGGCTAATGCTTGAAATTGAGCAAATCCAGTCGAACGTAGATCGGATGAATAGAAATAAGTTGCTTCGTTTCCATTAAATAATGAGGCGATCCAACGATCAGATATGAAATCAGACGAGCACACTTGATGAAATGATGGATTACTAAAAACGAACTCTCCGTATGGCACAGAAATGCGTGAACATGGACAGATACGATCGGGTGGTAAAGATGCTATTTGAGCTTGACTAGGATTATGTATAGTGACACTAATTGTCTGGGTATTTAACCATGTAAAACTAACAAGAATAACCAGACTCAATGAAAGAACAATGAAAAACAAACGAGTGGCTATCAAATTTGTCCGTTCTTCATATCGATTTCTTTCGTTTTCTTCGTTCAAACCATTTGATGGTTCAAAGATATTTACCTTAATAAGATATGATTTCAGACCATTCATTTTATAAATACGTTTCAATAGATAGTGTCTGCTTTGACCGATACCGACAGGATTTTGCGCACACTAACGTTCAATTCCTCTCTTTTTTTTTCTTTTCATAATTCAAGTATTTTTTTTATTAATCAGCTAAATTATAGCACTTTCTTTCTTTGCTTATTCTTATGGAAAAGCCTTTTTCTCGTCACACTTAAATACATTTGTGTTTTAAAAGTAATTTAAAAATGAAGTTATATAGTAGCTTTTCTAACTCATCAACAAAATAACAACTTTTTTTTTTACAATTTATGAATCTTTTCAATTAGAAACATCATTTGACAAAACGACGTTTCTTTTCTTCTTTATTCAATCAATATTATCACGTTTTTTCTTTCAAAATTAATCACATAAGATATAATCGATCAAATTAATAGAAATCAAATTTTAGAAAAAGATATTCATTTCTAAAGTAAACTTCATAGAATAGAAGATAAGAGTTAAAATCTTATCTCCATCTCTTTTTATTCGAAATATTTATTGATGATTTATTCTAAATTTCAAGTTTATTCTGAAAACAGTTCTTCTTAATAAACATTGAAACAATGTTTCAAATTGACACATGTCAATATGTATCGAGATAAAAATCTATAATCTCAATCTGATCAATATATGCTTAGTAATATAAACATCATATTTCAATCATAAACAAAATATGAAAACAAAAATAATCTAAGATATACTTTTGAGCATCAATATTTTCTTGGAAATAAACAATAACAAAAACAAAATAGATCTGATTAGTTTAATTAACTCTTATTTCCACTGTAATACTTATTTATTTTTATTTCATCATCATAGAAGTTTTTTTCTTTTGTTTATTGTCAATTGTCTCATTTCTTATTTTATACTTCAGTTAACACTTTCACAAACATAAAAATAATCTATTTTTGAAATTAAAATTTTTGTTTTCTCATAGTTTTTTTTTTACATTACCTCGATGTCCTTGTAAAAAGATTACATTAAAAGTATTGTTCAATAGTTTTTCATTTTCTAACACTTTCTACATCGATTATTTTTCTTTTCTTCGACATCTTTTATCTTCATATTTAAATAAATGAAACTACTAGTTTACCTTTTCATTACAATAATATATTGTTTTTTGAACGGAGAAGAAAATTTATATTTCATTTACAAATAAAAAGACGTAAATTCATATCTTAGTGTTTTATATATTGCACTTTCTATCGATTTCAATATAGATATTTCTTTTAATGTTGAAATGCAATTTATCAAAGTCACTTAGAAAAAGTTCATCCAAAATAATCAATTAATAAGATCATGATGAACATCTCGAATGATTATTTTCTATCAATATCAGAAAAATCTTATCTAGATCAGTATTGAACAAATTTCTTTTTTGAAAGTTCGAAATTCTTCTGAAGATTCCGTGTTTGTATTAGATAGACTAATTGTCTATGGATTATTTAAGAATATTTGTGGTTGAATTTATGTAGATGAAACAAAAACTTTTATAATAGAAAGTTGTCATGAATGTAGAAAATGTCTTTCGGAAGAAATATAATTTGCATAGTTGCGCATTGAAATCACTTGCAATAGGCGAAATTGTCTGTTTTACAATTTTTACGATAAATAATGTTTGAAACAGAGATACTTACCATCGTGCTACCAGTGCCGCTGTCGTGATGTTGGTGTAGGATCTTTGTCTCTCCGAAGATCATGGTATGGCAGCGACAGATCCTCAGTCGCAATGAACACTTCTGGTTCGAAATGCTTCTTGACCACCAAACAAAAGTTTTATCACATACTTGTATAAGAAAATATTTAAGTTACATTGACACTGCGAAGAGATCAGAGCAGGAAGAAATATTTACACAAATCGAGAAAACATGTAGACCAACGCAACAGGGCTACGAATCAGTCCAAATTATATGAGTGTAATAAAGACTTTTTCCCTGAAATGAGCAAAAATATTATCGTTTTTAACCGACTTTTAGGTAACAGTCAAACTTTTAAACAAATTCATAAATTTCTGTATAACTCCAATGCGTTTGGTCAGTAGCAAACATTGATGTAGATTCCTAAGCTTCTTGATGTTGGTATAGTCCCTTTTCTCAGAAACGTTTTTGTATTCAGACCAGAAAAGTTTTCCAATTTTTTTGGTCAGCGAGTGTGACCATGTTCGCAACAACCCGTAACCAATGTGATCACTATCGGGTTTTATAAGAAGCTATCAAGCTCGTGCTAAGTTTTCGAAAAAGAGATAAATTGATTTTGCTGCAGAAAATGGTATAGATTTTAATAATATTTTGAGGTTTTTCAGTATTGCTTAAGTCATGAAGCCACTTCTACTTTTGCGAGAATATTTTGAAAGTCTTTTTATAGTCATTTCAGTGGTGTAGCCAGGAGAACGACCATTGGGCAATTGTCCACAGCTTCAAAAGTTATTGCCCATAGATTTTGTTGAGATCATCACAGTTGTCCATGTTTCACAATGGTTTGGCAGGAGAAATGTCCATAACTCAAAAAATTTCTGGCTACATCACTGATTCATTGACTACCACCAAGAACAATAAAGCTCGCACGATTACTTCAGAAATTTGAATGAATAATTCTGAATTTTACTGTCAGAACAACTTCAAGTATTTTGTAAACACACTGATTCCCTACAAGAATCAATCAAATTTTTCGATAATTTCAATTGCAGTACCATAGATGAATTAGTCCCATCACATAAACTCTTCATAAAGTTAAAGAAGTGTATAGTCCAAATCATCCGAGATTAAAGAAAGAAATAACCTTTAAACTCTTCTAATTTTGACAAAATATAGTTCTGATAGTTTATTCAATATGAGAGAAAAGCATAGTGTAAATCTTAATAAATCACAGAAAGCTGTGGCCAGCCTTTTCAAAACAGGAGAAGGGTCTTCTCTCCCACACATTTCCGGTCGTATGATGCCTGATTAGTTTTGTACAATTAAAAATGCTTTCACAGCTATGAAAAAAAATTGTTTTAATTAGAAAAAATACGTATATATGGTGATCAACTAGTGATACTTGGTTTCATAATGCACATATCTATATACGAAATTCACCAGATCTAAGCAAATTATCATCAATCATAGCAATAGTTCGAGATGCATGCCGATAAATACATTGATAGCGGCGGCTAGAATCTCTGAAGGGTTTTTTAAAATTTTTGCATTTTTGAGAAGCTTTTCAAGTTGAAAAAGGAAAAAACTGATGGTAAAGAATTTACAGATAATAAATTAGGCAAAAACATTCTCGAAAAAAGATCTTAAGAGTCGAATGTTTGTAAAACTCAGTTATCAATATTTTCTTCCAACAACGACAACTGGCATTTTCAACAATTATTTACAATAAGAACGTGGATATGGGCATCGGCATAGCGCTTCTTTCATGCACACCCACACGCTGTTTCTCTTGTCTATATGCTTATCTCTATGTTTTTTTTTTCGTTTTTTATGAACAAAAACTAGAAATTCAGTTTTACGGTCTTCACAATATTTTGTAAACTTACCTGCTTCTATAGATAGTTTCGATGGATTTCGAACTTTAAATGAAGCATAGAAGGCTAAAAGAATGAGATTAAATTTCTATTTGAGTTTTTCTAGGAAATTGTTGATAGTTATATATTCGAATTCTTCATAGCCGATGATCTTTCCATCCATTAGATCTTACGTAAGTAATTTTAATCCCAAAAATAAAAATTATGAACGTAAGTTAAAATTATGAAACATCATCATGCGATCGATACTGTTGATAAAAGAAATTAACAATACTCATGGCTAGATAAACATTAGGAATGACTCAAATTTTTTTTTGTTCTTTTCACTGGATTAACAAGTATGACCGACAAACTGATCTCAAAATTTAACAATGCTCGTATTTCAAAATTCTAAAGACGATTGTTTGCAACATTCTCAAAAGCTCAATAATACTGATATTCAGACAAATTAAACACGTTCATTCGACACGAACTAATATTCGGTTAAACAATACTGTAATGTAGTGTCTGTTTTTATTTGTCATTTTTTATGATAATAATGAAAAGAAAAAGAATCAGACAAATTAGAGTCCTTTCAATGATGTCTTATAAAAAAGTCAATGTCCGATCAGAAGCATAAACATATTCGGTGTACCACCGTAACTTCGTAGCCAAAAACTTATTGAGTATGAGCGTCCACCTACGGTGTTGAACGACTGAATTAAATAGCTCGGATCGTACATTGTTCCATCCATATAACAAAGGTTCCCTACTCTGGCACAACCTGTATGTATTTGTCCTCCAACTGTGGTATCACTATCCGGTAAGGTACATATTGAGTAATACCCAAGTAAGTTATTTGATTCGAAGCTACCATCTAGATTGACCACGTTGAATGTGACTAAATCATAAACTTGAATATTGTCTAAAAACCACCAAGTTGATCTATGCGTGAAGCCGAACGCCATCGTCGTCCTTGTAGAATCAGCAATCGTAACATATGTGAAGGAATAGTATTTATATGTCGTAGATGGCTCATTCCTCACATAGAATTGTACATTGATATTACGCATCATTGTGGTGCATTGATTTAAGACGTAACCTGTCAATTTAGACTTAAATCTAATTCAACAAATTATAATTGGTTAACATACGAACCCGGTGGAGGAGTTGCTATTGTTGTTGAAGTAGTCGAAGTAGTGTCAGTAGTAGTAGTAGTTGTTGTATCATTTAATATCATAATCATGCCACTTGTTGTGGTGGTTGATGAATCAAGACTACCGCTAGTTATGATACTAGTGATCATATTCGTGTTTGCATTGCTTGTTACACTTGTAATTGTGCTGCTCACAAAAGTGCTTGTAGTACTGACCAAAGTACTACTGGAACTAGTAGTGGTTGTAGTGCTACCCATAGTACTAATCGCATTAGTGCTCATAGTACTGCCGGTAGTACTGATTGTGGTAGTGCTGACCGAAGTAGTGGCCCTTGTAGTGCTGACTGAAGTAGTAGTGCTTGTAGTGCTGACCGAAGTAGTGGTGGTGCTGACCAAAGTACTGGTGCTTGTAGTGCTGACCGAAGTTGTGGTCCTTGTAGTGCTGACCGAAGTAGTGGTGGTACTGACCGAAGTAGTGGTGGTGCTGACCAAAGTACTGGTGCTTGTAGTGCTGACCGAAGTAGTGGTGCTTGTAGTACTCGTAGTACTGAACAAAGTACCAGTTGTATTGATAGCCGTGCTGATCGTGACGGTGGTGTTTGCACTAGTCGTCGTACTTGTAAGCGTGGTTAATGTGTTATCTGATAAATGAAAGAAGGTTTGATTGTACAGGAAGTTCCAAAATTCTCTTTGTCAAAGTATGTTCATATAACTATCCCTTTAAGCACCAGCGTACTTTATAAAGTACGGTTTTTTTCGAGTTTTATAATCTTTGAATAACTCGCGAATGCAAAGAGATATTGAGAAGCGGTTTTCTCTATTATATAGAGGAGACTTCGGTGCATATATCTATATAAGAGTTATAATCCTAATGAGGTCACTCAAGTGGTAAGCCTGATGGATTTTTGGAACACCAACTCTATTTTAAAAAACCTGTTCGCCATCCCCGTGTGGGAGGAGGGGGGATACAGGAATGGGTCGAAAATGACTCTGAAGGTTTTACAAAAAGTTTTGATGAAAATATTCACAACACATACTGCCCATATTAAATATAAAGTCTCAAAGAAATTTCATCCATTGACTGAAGCATGGGCCTGAAAGGGCCAGACAACTAATTGGACTTTATCTACTACTTTTTTCATATGGTATGTGAGTCTACCGAATTTTCATTTCTACGGAGAAAGCTCAAAAGTGCTGTTTAAACCTATCACTTTTAATCGAAGTATAAAAGTTCAGCCTTTTTTCTATTTTCAGAAAATATTATGTAGTATTCCTTTTTCAATTGCTTTAATATCTCACATTATCATAATCTAAAAAACTGTCTAAAATCTTGAATAGTTTCTTTATAGACATACGGTTTGACATATCGTCGTAATAAAGAGATCTAATATCGGTTACACTAGAGTTGTAAATTGAAGTTATGTTTATAATATCTAAATGAGAGTCTCCACCATTAGTCAGAGATATTTTCAATGTGTAAAAATGCCTAATATTTCTTCAGAGACAATCATCAGTGGTACGTATGATAAGTTTAATGAAACTAATTTTGGTACACTATTTTGAAAGTCACATTTCTTGAAGGCAATTGGTGTCTAATCAAATAGAAAGTTCGATAATTAGATGACTCAAAGAGACGACCTCAATTGGTACGCTAAATAGCCATGTAATTTGACACCATGAGTTTTCTCGTTATCGAATCATATTAAAACAACTATCAAGATCTTGATTATTTTTAGGCGACGATAATGCAAGGAGTTAAAGTAATTAAAAAATGCTGCATAATATTTTTATGGAAATAGAAAAAAAGACTAAACTTTTGTCATTCAATCAAAGGCGATAGGTTTAAACAGCATGTTTGAACTCTATCTATAGAAATAAAAACTCGGTATGTTTATTTGTCATGCAAAAAACACTTAGTTGATATAAAGTTCAATCAGTAGTGTAGTTATACGAATATACTTTGGCGAAGAGATTTTTTGGAACTCTACAGAGTGAGTAAAATGTACATATAAATGCAAGCATTAAAAGCTAATATGAAAAGATAGATGTTCATTAAGTTCTAAATAATATAAACTTATAACTATTATTGAATGAATCATTCATTATTTGTTAATTTGATAGATGTCAGAGTTCATGTTACAGTGTTTCGCACATATAACATTAAATCTACTTATCTTTAAAAAGTCAACTTTCACTACGAGCGACTTATTCTGCTCTAAAATTTTAACTTTGATGTATGACTCGATTAATAACTAGATAAAAAAAAAAGAAAAATGCCTTTTTTTTTTAGCATTTTATTTGGTGCGTCATCAGCAGCAACATGAGCATACTATTGGATGTACAAAGATCAAACTTGAACTACTTCTTCTGGATATCTGGAGAAGCTCATTGATTTTGAACCGGAATCGAAACACGCGCAGCGCGAAAAATTTGAGACGCTGAACCTTTGTATTTTCTTAAATTTAAAAAAAAAATACGAATATATGATCACATTCCACAATAGTTGTGCACAAAGAGACTAATCGTCATTCTTAATCATTTCGATAACCCTTTGTCATGCGAGTGGACGAGCGCAGACGACAATGAAAAAAAAGCAAGCTGTATTTTCGCTCTTCTTCCTATGAGATATCAGAATACTTCTCGATGTAAAAGCTCAAGTTCTTTTCACACATTCGGCATGCCGATGTATCAAACTCTTCTCATATGGGATCGTAGTCTTCTTCAAACCTCTCACATGATGAAAGTCTCTTTCCATATTAGCCAGCCACATGAGAGAGCCAATAGACAAGACGCATCAGAAACTATCTAGTCTTTACTTAGTATAGAAGGAGCTCTCTGATTATTTCAAGACAATCAGATAATTGACGACCAAATCATTATTACCCAAGTTTATTAAACGTTGACAAACAGCCTTCGAGATATCAAAGGTTCCTTATTCAGCAACGTTTCAAAAGACATATCGTGTAACATTTTTCTTTTATTATAATCAGGACTACTTATTTGAACTTCATCGTCATTACTTCGAATTTTTAACAGGTGTCGACAAAGTCAGTTCACATAGAGAAGAACATGAGATGTTTGAGGGAGAATCACAAAAACAAAGATAAAGCTCGAAAGGATGAAAAAAACAATTTAATGATTGTATCTCTATGTGAAATAATTTCGCACTAATTATTTTTTGTATGATATTATGTAAGAAAAAAAGCACAGGATTGTACTAATCTTATTAGCCTCAAAACAAAAAAGAATTTTGAATCTTTCGAGTTTAGTAATAATTATCCCAATCTTGTCTATTTTCAAAATTTTATGAAAGTCATGTTGGAGTCTTTCTATAATAGAACGATCTCTCGCACTTTTCTAACGATCGATAGTTTAGAAGTACTGCTTCTTTTCATTTGATTGAATATGACAACGTTGCTACATAGTATTATTCTTCATACTCTCTGAATGATTTGTTCATAAAAAAGACGCCTGTCTAGTGGAGAATGAGTATAAGACTGTAATTTAAAAACAACCGAGCTTGCTGGATTTTCATATGATCGCGTACCGTGCCCCACAACATCAAAAAAATCATGTTGCTTCGATTGCTGTTCTCGAATGAAAAAAGTTCAATTTGTTCATGGCTTTCTGATCTACTAGCCTATGCATTCCATATTGTTATTTTTTCTATGAAAATAATCGAATAAAATATGACGAAAGTATAATGGTTACATTCAAGTGTTGTACTCTATCATTTACACAAAATCAACGCTTCTTAGGTTTTGTAGTAATTCGAACTCTCTTCATATCAACGGTAATTTGTTCACTAAAATTTTTCTAACGTACGTAAAGATAAACTTACTTAATAAAACAGCTTGATTTTTGTCTTTTCGAAGAAGAACAACGGTCGGAGTAATAATAGCCACTGTTATCGCAATGAACAGTATTAGACCACCAACAAACTTAAGAGATAAGGGAAGTGACGAGAGCAAAGTTTTCCTACAACGAAATATATGAGATATTGTATTCAAAAGGTATATAATCATACATTGATGTTAATTGCAGTTACAAAAGATTGTAGATTTGAATTGTGAATGATACACAAGTACCGTATGTAAAATTTGTTTGTATTAATATAGGATTATCAAGAAAATCGTGAAAATCTAAAAGACAATAATCAATTGAAAAATAATATGGTAATGGAAAAATTTTTAAATATTTTATTCATAATTTAGACCTTGAATAGAGATTCTTGAGCAATGATTAATCTATTCATAAGATTTAGGCTGTTGATAAAGTAAAGAATAAAACCTTACATATGCTTTCCGATCTATCTTGAACGACAGAACTGTACGACACCATACACATAAAATGGAATTTTTTTATTCCAAGCTACTAAGTCGGACCATAGATCAATATAGCTACAGAAAAATTTCGGACGATCAATCTGTTTTTATATAAGATCCCAAAACTTTTACTCGATTCTATGCATAGTTTTGAATGTTTCACAAAAACTTAGATTTTTATTAAAATAATGATTTTACAGCATTTTAACTTGCTTCAACCTTCAGTCAAGAATGATAATGTACATATTGCATTGTTTGAAATGATAAAATAAAAAACAGAAATCTTTGCGAAAATTAATTTTAGTCTTTTTTTAATCAAACTTTAAATAGCTAAGAAGCGGATCATCAGAATCGGTCTTCATCCACGTCTAGTTTCATCCGATTCACATATTTGTTGGACCACTCAAATCAAACTTTTGGTATTTTTCTTCTATGAAAATCTTTGCATCTTAGAAGTGATAATAAGAATGTGGGTGAAGTAAAGTAGTATCGAAAATAGACCATGATTAACAATATAAGTTATAAGTAGTGGTTCATGGAAACCTTCAGAATCAATCAATAAAAAATTTACGACTGTGCAACTTCTTTAATGAACGACAATGGTCTGTAAGTCTAGATCGTATCGAAAATGTATTGTTTTGTCTAGTTCAACAACCAATTCTTCTTCTATTTTATGTTAATTTTATGAATACTGACATTGTTTCAGTTCATTAAACTCATCAGTACCTAATAGTACATTATCAACTGGATAGAGGACCTTGGTTACGCAGAAAATATGTAAAAAAAGATTATGTTGGACATATATCAGGTGGAGCCCGTCAGATTGGTCCCGGATCCCCTCGGATCCAGATCTAGAAATTTTCTCTCAATCGAAGTTCGGAACCGATCCAAAGAGTGCTAGTTTTGAAGTAAGAGTCAATTATAACTTGATTCTTATAAGATTACTGTCAAGACCTTCTGAGAAATACGTAGTGTGCTAGTCACCGAAGACATATAATCAAAAAAGGCATCTCGTATCTTCGAAGCTAGTGTTAGATTTAGATTAGAAAATGTTTGTTGAGGCTAGTGAGAGCACGACTCAAGTTCGAATCCAAAAAACTTTAATAAAACTGATGCTGGTTTGGTCGCCAATTTTAAAATGTTTAATGAACTAGGTTTGGACTCATAAATGTTGAATGCGACAGGCTCTAACTCCAGATGATGGAAGCAGGGATCCATGTAGGATGGGATGGGATGGAATGAAAAAAATCATTTCATGGGATCAACTATCTCGAACTGTCCGAGAAAATTGTATAGAATTCAGAAAATTTTTGTCCCATGGAATACGATGGGAAATGTTCAGGAAATTTTTGTTCCATGGGATGGGATGATCCTTAAATTTTTTTCTTCACATTCCAGGTAGAGCTCTGAATGGAAGCGTAAGAAATTCTTGACCAATTTTGAAATCAATGAAGTACGCTTTGAACTGTTGTCTGTCGTTGGAAACAGAGATCCAACTGAATGGAACCGAGCTATGCTGATTCAAGTTCTGTACGGTTTAGCTCATCTTCGGTTTCTGGCTGCAATTAAAAAAAAACACAAGATTTCCGATCTTTTATTCAAATACTTAACTGCATAATTAATCAGCTGATGGAGCTCAATAAATTCTCTCCATTCACATTTATGACAGTGGTCAATGCGAGTTTATGTATAAAAAAGAACTGGTTTCATTTGTTTTATATTTTACAACCCTATCTATTCTAGGAGAAATTCGGCTTTTTAAAAATAAATTTGTTCAATACTGATTTAGATAAGATTTTTCTGATATTGATAGAAAATAACCATTCTAAATGTTCATATTGTTCATCATGATCTTATTAATTCATTATCTTGAATGAACATTTTGTAAATGACTTTGATAAGTTGCATTTCAATAATATTGAAATGAATAGAAAATATGAAATATAAAAACTAAGATCTAAACTTACATCTTTTTATTTGCAAATGAAATATATATTTTCTTCTCTGTTCAAAAAAAAATATATTATTGTAATGAAAAGA